GAGTGGCGATAAAGCATCTCCTTGTTTTAGACCATTCTGGATAGGAAATTTATCAGACAAATGTTTACTGACACGGACATTACTATATGTTTACTATTCGAAAAAAATCCAATGACCTCATCGGGACTTGAACCCGCGACCTTCCGTCTTGTAGCATAGCCCCTCAACCAACTACACTACCGCGTGCCCCTCTAAACTGAGGTAGAAGAATAATATTAAAATGGATCTTCGAGAAATAGAATTGGATGGCATGGACTGGATTAATATGGCTTAGTGGTGGACTCTTGTGGACACAGCAATGAACCTCCCGGTTTTATCAAATTTTGGGATATTTTTGAGTGGCTGCGCAGCTGGTGGCCTCTCAAGAAGAATTCAGCTCCATGGAGTCAGTTATTCGATAGATATTTGAAAGAAACAAATTAGGCCTTTAAGTTAACTGGTCTTCAAAATTAATTGAAGAGGGACGCAACTTGCACAGAATAGTACTAGGTAGTATGATAAGGAATTTATATGAAGTTACAGCAGAGACATGGAACAGGTTGACGTAGTGGTAACGCGCTGCACCTCTATCAGGAACATGCTTTATTGTAATCTCAACCTGGGCACTGGCTATCCTACTATCCTCATTGGTCTATTTTGTGATTTTTCTCAGTCTCTCTAAAGAAATTTCGACAGAGTACCTTAATTAGGCTACCATCACTTTGTTCCAAATTCTTTCCAATTTATCATTCATTTCAAATTCTACCATTCGACATTATATAGAATACGTTACTGGAAACGTCACGAAGTAACCCACAAAATGCCATAAGAATCTATTGGAAGACTAGGGAAATTCTTATAAAATTAATTTCTTCCATTACGTAAATAAACTTTTACATTTAAACAATCTGAGCCCAAAATAAGACTGGGAGTAATAAAGAAATTTATATGGATTAATGGTATAAATCTACCCTATGGTGCACTTATTTTGTGGTCGTACCCCAAATAATTATTAGACAGGTTTAATTTAGGGCGAAGTTCCTGGGGATTATTTCATGTCTGACCTACGTTAAAATCATGCAAAATTCAAGGTTGTCAACTGACAGTGTACACGAAAGTACGAATGAGACACTAACGTCTCGATTGATGTTTACTCGTACTCACCAAAAGAACTGATATCTCGTTTGCCGGTCATTACACCGTTCTGACCCGTTGTAAATTCTCTGAAGCGTAGTTCCAGAATATGTTTGGTCAGAGATTTGTTTACTATGGCAATACTCGTACAGTCCAAAGGACTTGATCTGTTTTTATTGTCTTACAAAGGCAAATTTCGTACTTGTGTATTATATATTTGTATGCAAACCCGATGTGAATATTTTATACTTTTGAGATTTGAGACATCCCGTAACATATATGATATAAACTCCGTCCTAAGTGCAACAATATATTGTAGGTCTTTCGTCTTGCTTTCTTCTACACTACATGTTTCGGCCGCAAACGGCCATCATCAGGCGTATACACTCACGTAGCTGTTACACTGCACCCAGTTTAAAATTAAAAACATACAGGTCTTCCCAATTGTTCCCTTCGTCGCTTCTAACAGGATCTACTTCGCTGATATTTGTCTGATTCGTGCCTCATCTTTGCCACCCACACACGTCAATTTTGACCTTCATGAACTGGCATTTTAAAATCTTCAGTTCCAATTTTAAAAATTCTTTTAATTTTTTTTCCCCAAATTTTAAATTTAAAATTCTCAGGGTTACTCGCCCCAAAGGGAGCCTACACAGAGTAACACCTGTACAGTGCTGAAAACAAGAAGTAGCCGCTGTAGCACTACAGACGTGGGGAGAGTAACCCTGAGAATTTTAAATTTTAAATTTGGGGAAAAAAATTTAAAGAATTTTTAAAGTTGGAACTGAAGATTTTAAAAGTGTCAGTTCATGAAGGTCAAGATTGACGTGTGTGGGTGGCAAAGATGAGATGCGAATCAGACAAATATCAGCGAAGTAGATCCTGTTAGAAGCGACGAAGGGAACAGTTGGGAAGACCTGTATGTTTTTAATTTTAAACTGGGTGCAGTGTAACAGCTACGTGAGTGTATACACCTGATGATGGCTGTTTGCGGCCGAAACATGTAGTGTAGAAGAAAGCAAGATGAAAGACCTACAATATATTGTTGCACTTAGGACGGAGTTTATATCATATATCGTATAGAGTGCAACGGGATGCTTAAACATAATATTGTATCCAGTAACATCTTTGATATCATTCTGAGAAAAATGGGCTTAAGAAATTTTGCTCAACATTAAACTGATGTTTGTCATCTCAGTGTTTAACTCACAGTTCTCGGATTCTGTCGAAAAATTATTTGGTAGCCTTTAAAGATATGCACTTTTTTTTAATTTCCAAAATTCGACAATTGTTTGCTGAAATACACTTACGTCGTTTAGGTATTAGTGCGTTTAGACATTCATAAATTTTAGGTAAGTACAACATTTGCTATAAATCATGTAACTTTCAATCTTAAAATATAATATTACAGGAAACATCCGAATTCCAAGAATAAGATGTCAGTCTCCTTCCCTTCCCGCCAATGAGAAAAATCAAACAATAGAAGAATATAGATAGGAGGAAGTATACAATTTCAGCGGCCTCCCTAGTCTAGAGGTAACGTTCCCACCTCATGACTCGTAGTACGCGGGTTCAAATACCCGGCGGAGGTCGTCGAATTTTTAAGGGCGGAAAAATTCAGGGAAAAAGTCCGCCGGGAGGGACTTTAAGCCGTGGGTCCCGTGTCGTAGCTTTACGGCACGTAAAAGATCCTCATATCCCCAAAGGAGGTCACTGAGCCAAATTAACGGACGTTTCCCGCCCAACAGCAGTCTCTAATACCTCTGGTAGATGGGGGAAGCATTATAGATACCTCTCAGCTAGTAGAGCCGGTCTCGCTGGCTGGGCGGGACTGATGGTAAGCACCAGTACCGGTAGGATATAGAGACTGGTAGAAATCATAGAGGAAGCACAATGGACCAGTACAGGTCTCAGTGCATGGGGAAACCCACCCTCTCCAATAACTAACTAACTAAGTATACAATTTCTAGATTTCGTTAAAGAAAAGGTATCAACTTCAAATATCAAAAATCTCTACCCTGGGAACGTAACCCAGCCACATCTGGAATCGTTCGATAGTAACCGATTTGGGCGCTGCTTCATTTAAATTACTGGAAGAAAAACAAAGTTCTAGTGCTGTTTTTAAATACTTCAGTTTGGTTTACGAAATAACTAGTTGATTCAGAGAATATCCACTTAACCACTTGATGTTTGCAAAGTGTGTGTATGGTTGTGGATGTGTTTTGCGGACTCGCGATGGTTCTTACCACTCTTTCTTTCTTGTGTTCTGAAGAGAAATAGACTGGCAATGCTCGATTCTTATAGAAGACTTAAAAAATCACAAAATGTTGAGTTTTCAGTTCTTTTCAGTTAAGCAGTATGAATATGGCTTTACTATGGAGGGCTACTTTTATCAGTCACATTAATAGAAACAACACATTTACTGACATTATTCCTCAAATAACTTATTTAGCTACTACATAAAGCAGGACTATCCACCCGGCGACTTCTTCCACTCTTCGAGAATATTATTGCACTCCACAAAGTATATGTTTTAACTCTTTTCTTAATCTTTAAGATGCGAAAATTTCACGAAAAGTGCTTACTAAATATTCCGTGTAATTGTTCGATTTGTCATGTGATACAAATTTAGAAAACGTGGAATCAGTACGATTCTATAAGATTGTATACAATACTGATACAATCTAGTAAACCTTCAGCAGCTGGTTTTTATGCACCGTCAACCTCGCAACAATTAATTTTGAATAACTCTTCTTAAAATGTATGGCACTATTTCATAATATATGTTTCATAAATGCATTTAACTGCCGGGGAGATACGTGAAGCTGTATATTAGTAGAAACTGCATATTTTGTAACGCAGCCACGTGAGTATGTACCTAAAGTTCTATGTTCTCCCTGAGTACTCTATAGTTTGAGAGCCCTGATAGAGAAAAATTCATACAAATTCTAATAGTAAAGCTTGAAATTCATAATGGCCTAAATGCTATTAGACTACTCAGTTTGAAATTGTGAATATATTATGGAGAGTGATATTAATATTATACCAGTGTTATTTTGGACACTGTCCATTACTTGAGACACCCATATTAGATATACTGACATATTCTTTAATTTTACAATATATCCCTGCGTCTCTTGCATACGAAGCTAGTTCGTTAACTGCTAGATCATTTGTCAGTATGATCACCTGAATATGGAAGCAGACCAACAATAGAAAATTTTGAAAATTTTGAACACTGACCAATAGACAACATTCAACATAATATTAGTATGATCTGTCAACCACTGTCAAAATCCTAGGGAAATATTGTGGTGCTTCTTACAGCATTCTTGCTGTCTTGGCAATAAACACAGTTTCAAAATAGGAGCTCTACAAAATTCTGGACTCTTTTTTTTTTAACAAACTTCATAAACTGAACACATAATGGAGGTCTATGTCTGTCTCTTCGCATGGTTAATCCTTCTGACACGTTTCAAACAAATTTAGTAATGAATTGTCACAATCAAATGTGTCAGACAAACCCACTTTTGGTATGTATGACAGTCTCTGCTCTACGTGAAACATAAATTTAAGTTTATAAAATTTCTAAAACACTATCATGGTAAAAAATAGCAGTAGTCACCTATATTACATAAAATAGGGCCATATCGTATAGAGAGTTTATTTAAAATATATTTCGACATGGAGTGTGTTTAGCTAAACATGAGGAAACATAATCTCTTCTTCTATGCAATCTGATGCTATCATGTGATTTGATTTGCAACGATATTTGTTTCTACAGTAGATGGACAATAAAGGTCGACAAGGAATGAAAAGTACATATTAAGAACATATTAAGAAATATATGTATTTCAATCAAACACTTCTTCAGCTCTTACTTGTTACTGGAGAAATCTTGTGTGTCCAAAATTATGCAGGCTAGTAAAATTGTTACTAGCCAGTATGGTGGCATAAGTATCAGAACGTATTTTACAAGACTGTGAAATTTTTGCTGACATAATGCATATCTGAAAATGAAATGAGGAGGTTACATAAATGTAAGTTTCGTCACTAAGAAAACAAAATCATGAATTATTTATTTTTAATATAGATGCACATTTACAATAGACTTTTATGTATAATTCCATAATAAGCAAAACACTACGTTTGTAAGATGAATAAGATTATATATACAATCAATATGCCATCAAAATGTACAAAATCAGTGAGAATTTTGGAAATTTGTAGAAAAACTATTCAAAAATATGTAAAATTCGGTAAATAAATTCCACAGAATGGTTATTTTATTTCCTCAATGAGATTAAACTAAAATCTAACATTTCTGATTGCATGAATTCCAAAATATAAACATAGAATGCTCAGGAAAATCATGATAACAAAATTAAAGTCCATACAAAACATGAATTTTCTACCTCTAAAATATTTATTGTATGAAATTTAGTTTTTGTATAAGAATAACAGTGATACTTGGAAGTCAAAATTATGAAAAGGAAAGTCAGAGACTGAAGAGTAAATATATTTTCCTTAATACAACTTCTTCACTTTAAAAACAAAATAAGTGAAGAGCATTACTGAGTTATGTTTGGTAACTATATAAAACATTATAAGGAAGGATTACATAGAATGGTAACTATGAAACTAAAAACACTGCAAATATAGAAACAAAGAACATTTACATAAAATCATACAAAACAATGTAATGGCAGTAGAAGTTACTAAGCAACAATTTAATTAATCACTACCTTCCTATACTAAAATACTGTCTACATGGGCAAATATTCTCTGGACACCAGTCTTTTCCATTTTTCTTACTTGTGGTACTACATTAAAATTACCAAATTTGGAGAAGTATTATGTATGCTAGGTCACTCTCTTATATAAATATATCAAAACAAAGCAAATGTGTTAAATGCGCTTTCACATAAATTTCAGAACTAGATTCACATAAATTATCTGCAATCAATTTGTGCTTGTTGCCTTCATTCAATAAGTTTCAGTGAATTCAACAATAAAAAAGAATAAAAATCCATTAAGATCAGTTCTAACTTCGGGAAAATAAGCTATACTCTAAATGAACACAGTACTGAACATTCCAATGTGCTTTCCAACTCCATATGCTTTTAGAAACTTATTTAACCTATTTATTAATTATAATAAATAGAATGTTCAGTCCTTCATATTCATTAAATTTAAAATAATAATTTCAGAAGAAATTTTATTCCAAACTCAGTGTGTTAAACATACAATTAACATATCTACCATTTCAGTTAAATGGTCCCTCAAACAAATACAAGGACATTTCAGATTGAAATCTGTGTTTGATGGCACATGTCCCTTTATATTGATGTTGAGAATCATAAGATTTTAATAAGTTCAATGTTTGAAGAACATTTAAATCAAAGGCAGCATCCACATGCACCTTGGCTGTAGCTTGGACAAAGAAATTTTTGTCATGTAGTAGCAAGTTCCTTTTTTCTCTCTTTTTTAGGACTTCTGCAATGTATCTTGCTGCTTTCCATTAACAAATTAATTTAAGTCAGTAGTGTGCGTATTATTTTACTGAACATTATACTGATATATTCTCATTTCACAGGCATACAGTGAATCATACGTTTTCAGGGTCATATTATGGAAACTGAAAATTCCTGTACTTTTAAGATATTATCTGGTATCATCTTTCTTGCATACCTCACATAAAATATGTTGACAGTGTATCTACAAAAGATGATTTCCACAATAATCTTTACAAGAGGCAATGGTTAATACATAACCAGATTCACTACCATCTACTCATTCCACTGAACATAACAATACAGAATTTATATCAGAATAAAAGGTGTGAAGTTCTCCTCTGAGTGTATAGCAAGCTCTAGGCAGAATTTAAATACAGTGTACTAAAATCCTCTCAAACAATTTGTTTTGTTGAATTAAAAACCATTGTTTTAGAGATCTACTTTGTCCCCATCAGTGTTAATGTTGAGAACATGATAAAGACAGAGCAAGTCTACAAAACCCTGGATTTTAACTCAACTTTGACTCAGCCATTCATCTAAGAAAATTTTTATCCATTTATGTGATATGAAAGCTACAAATCTTACATATTCAAAGAATAAAATGCATTGTCACTGACAAAATTGCATTCCCCTGAAATGACTGTTAACATTTCTGTAGGCATATTGAGAATTTGATTAATAACAGTCTGTGTAAAACTTTATCTTTGTTAATTATGACACTATATTATTATTAATTACTTCAAAATTATTAGGTAAGATTGCTTAAAACATATGCAGCTGAAACAAAAGAGAAATCTGCGCAAATTTACAAGTAACTTATCTGTGCCCCGATATTTATAAACATTAAACCCACAGACAGACACACTGTTAGAAGCAAAACTACATTCATGCTACCTCTTCCATCTTATAAATATAGTACACAACATACAGATTCTGAAATGTTGCTTGGCATGATGTTCACATTATGGTCTATATAAGGTGATCACTATGAGTTTCAGACATGTTTAGTCACGGTTGTTTTCCACATGTAGAAGATATTGCAGTTGTTTTGCAGCTGGCAATGAAATGCAGTTCTATAAATATAATCCTATTCAAAACTTTCGAAGCATAAAGATTGTGGTTCCATGCTTTTCTATAAACCTAGATCTTAATTTGTCATTCAGTTTTACATCCAAAATTGACTTCAGGAGATTCTGAATTGGTACAGATTAAACATTTAATTCACAGGCAAAATATGACTATTGGAACAGGCAATCCTTAGTATGCTATGCCATACCTAAAGTCAATGACTTCTGACCGTGGTAGCTTTAAATTGCAAATCATTTTATGTGGGATCTGTGATGGGCAGAGTGACACTGGGATAGGTTTCGTCTGAGTACTTTGGTTTCCCTTACCAATTTTCATTCCACCATATGCTTCGGTTCTCTCATCTATGATTCAGTGCTGGTAAAATGGGTCACTTACGGCCCAAATATCAAGGGTCAAAGATTCGCCCAATCCCAAAAATAAAACGAAAACTTTGTATAATACACTATCTTTGAACAAAAGAATCTGCTGTCTGTATTAATGTAGGCCTACCTGTTGTCTCATGCATTAACTATGATAGAGAGTATGTGATTGTAGTCTTAATCACAGTTTTACCTTCCAAAATTTTGCTTAGATAATCGGCATTTTGACTCAGTGAAGAACTACACCTTATATTTGCTTTGTTCATGTACGTCTAAGCACTACCCTTGTGAATGGAAGTCTGAAGAACCAGAAGATCACTTTCAAAATCACACATTACTAGAAAAGGGTTTAAGGAATTTTTAATCCCAATTATCACATTTTAATGTCTCGATTCCCTGACCATACTTGAAGGAACATAATAAAGTCATGGTAATCTCTATGCACACAAATTACACTTCATGTGTAATGTACGCTTCTATTAATAATTACATTCTGTCTCCTAAGAGGGCTCATACCAGCTCAAATGGTTATTTCAGTCAAAATTTGATTTAATGGTAGTAACCATTCAACCAAGAATGAAGTTCGGTTCGATCACACTGTTTGCTAGATGATATTCTGTGCAGTCTTTGCTTCTTAATACAGTGTGTCCATGCTTGGTGGCTCCTTATGTTGGCTACTCGATTCACTACTACAACCCAACTGAGACTTCCTGGTGCTCGAACTAGATAATCCTGACCACGAAAATGAAGGTGGCCTGTGCTGCTTGCCATCCACTCGCAAGCCGTCGCGACGCTGTCTTCGTTTCCAGCATCTGCTGGCAGTGTCAGCAAAGGCCCTAACCACCTTCTCAGTGCAGGTGAAGGCAAGGAAAATGAAGAGACCCTGGAGAGTGTTGAGGGCGATGAACGTGTACCAGAGGCCCTCGACGTTAAGGTAGCCAGCAATGAGGCCCACGGTCCACGTGAGACCCATGACAAGCGCCAGTCGGATATACAGGCGGAAGTCGCGCTGCGTTCCGCTGCTGGAAGTGAAGCGAGCTGTAGACGTGGTCGAGAAGATCATGTGCGCACTCGAGGAAAAGAAGGCAATATTGAGGATCATCACCAGCGCCAGCGGTAGCGCGAAGAACACCAGCAGAGCGTACCGGTGGCTAAACCAGCAATTCCTCACTCCGAAGCCGGGTCGGAAATCCTGCAGAACTGAACCTGTGAACAAGTTTATAGAGGACCGTACAACAGATATTATTAAAAACAATACACTAATCCTAACAAAATATTGTAAGTAACAGCTGTTCTGACTTATGACGTATGCAAATATTCTCCTCGGAAAACACAATGCTTAAACCTACTGGGGAGAGGCATGAGGACGGTGGTAATACATACAATATCCAGTAGATTGTGCTATCAGATCTTCTCGGATTTCTCCAGTTTCCACAGATATAAAGTTCACCCGTCTCTACTGGAATATGATTACATCTTCTTGTTTGAAAATATAATGTAATAACTTTACAGAAATAAAATAACATTCTCTCGTCTCTTTACTATTCCATAATGTAGAGCTTAAATCTAATACTTTACCGCCACGCTACCTTCACAATAATTCCTACTTATCGATTTCACTTGGCTACTGGCTCTGCAATCCTGTATGGAGGCGGTTTAGAATACCTCCACCGTAGTCCTGCTAGTCATAGAAGGAGATGAAGAGGGACCAGGGGCCTGAAGGGCATAACTGGGCCACCCTGTCACCGGAGAACATAAATACAGATACCTGGTCTTCCAGGTGGGGGTTGGACATAAGGCTGAAGACTTTGCTCTGTTAAAAAATATGTTAATAAATGCGAAGGAGTGAAAAATAGATGGTCTAACTCAACAGCGGAATAGGCAAGTCTGGCAGAATCTTCTAAGGAAGGCTATGGCTCAAAAAGATCTGTTTTGCCAATGTTTACGATGATGATGATAATGATTGACTATTCCATTTCATCTCTATTATTTGCGTCAAGCTTACATATCCAATGTAAATTAATTTGAAAGAAAATGCTTAAGCTATTTTATATATAGAAATAATCACAAAATATATCAATTTGAAATCTAAGGACTTCCTGTTGTTGATTCTAAGACGCTGTCAGTGTCTAGACTATATAGCGTCGAATGGTTGTATGACTGATAGACGATGAATTGGAAAAGATTTGTAATCGAGTGGTTGTGGTATAATTGGTGTATTGTCTTTATATGTCCCAAAAGTTATTAAGAAAAACAGCGAAAATTATCAGATAGGGCAGCCGGTGACCGGGTCGAAATTCGAACTGAGTGCTTCCTGAATACGAGTCTGCCGCTATGCCAACCCGCTCGGTAATTCAAAGAAAGATCTCGTACGTAACCTAAACTGAGTAACAGATAGCCAGTATGACTGTATCGCTTCAAGTGGTAAAAATGGGCCAACTGTTCCTGTGCAGACGAATTATTGACAGCTGTCAGACCGGTCTGTGACGACCGCAAACTGGACCTTATCATGTAGCAGTCCAGTCCGGTTCTTAGCCCTTCAGTCCGGTTCTTAGCCCTTCAGTCCACATCTCCCAAGATCCAATGTAAAATTATTATTCTTCCATATACATCTCGGCTTCCCAGATACAGTGCCCTGTGACTGCTGATAAATATTATCCTATAGGCCAAAGCATTTCTTGCTTCCCCATCCATTGCTCATATTCTCACCAGTTACATTTCTATAAACAATCCTCTGAGAACTATGAGAAGAGAACGAGTATAAACGGTTTTTTACGCCTAATTTTGTCTTATACCAATTATCATAGACCCAAATATTTTCGTTGTTAAACGTCTTAGAAATCTGTTATTCGTTCAGACTTAGAAACGAAGTTCCTTACCTACATAATACAGCAGGTTCTGTTCAGTTCAACCCATAAATTTCTGGAAGGGTATATGGATAATTGTTAATAAGTGAAGAAGAAATATTCCCCGAAAGTAAGAGTTTACACTAAATAGTATATCTTGTCAGTACTGTAATTCTGAGCCTCAAATGCATTCCAATGAAAATGGCGGTTCTCTGCGATGTGGCATCTTGTAGTATCGTAGGTGGGTGCCAATATTTCGGAGGAACTTTCTACCTCCATCCTCAGGTAGAACAGTAAGTGTTAGACTTACTTTCTATCCTGAAAATATCAACATGATCCTCTGAATCGTTGGTACACACCTACCAAGCTACACGGCGTAATATTCCAGAAGATTGTGATCTTCACCTTCACAAGCACTTCAGATTTGTCTGCAGTTTAATGAGCGACGCTATCCATAACTCAGATTATGTGGTCTAAAATGATCTAATATAGAATGATCTGCAAGAAACTGATCGTGATCTACTTTAAAGCAAAGCCCCTTCATTTTCCTCGAAGAAATCAGTAAAAATAAGTAAAGCTATCCTTGTAACAGGCCGTGAACAGGTTGTGAGACGTTGAGGGTCCGACATTACCTGGACAATCGGCTCAAAGATGGCGGTAAGGTTGTGAGCCTCACGCCCCGACCGCGCTTTACTCCCCAGGAAAATTATTTAATTAATTTCACGAGGAATTCAGTAGAACCATAAAAGACTTTACTTTGGATTGTTCATATTCGAACCGGGCTTCTTCCCAATATAAGCGAGGAGCGTTACCGCTTAAGCAAAAGAACTTCAAATTTCACGTACTGAATTTGCAATTATACAAATTTTAGTATGCACTGATTGTTTCGAGTCACTTTTCTAACATATTCCTTCAGTAAATTTATTAAGACGTCGACAAAGTCCTCCCTTCTCTTTCGCCAGTCATTTTCTCTGTAAATAACGTCAGAACTTCGTGAACTTGATAACGAAAAAGGAAATGACAAAATGCACTTACATACCGGAAAGTTTGCAGTGTATTTCCCTTGCATGCCGTCATGTTGGGAGAGTGGAAGATGGACAGGTGCTCAGTGAGAACATGCACCCACCTGTCCATGTCGTGTTAAGCAAACAGCTGCCTCTCCACAAAAACAAACTTCTCCTCTATGCATTATCGTGTTCTGCCTACAGAACAGCTGGCAGGGCATCACAAATTTACTAGCAGGTCTAAAGAGAACTTCACTTTTCACCGACATATGCAGAAACTATTTACAGAATACTGAGAACTGTTGTCAGTTAGTCCATGGATAAAGGCGGTCGGAGCTTAATACAAAACGTTCACTCCCAACTATAATCCAAGACGGAGAACTGGTGATCATGCAGTTGATATGATTCTTTTAGCGCCTACACTATGAAGTAAACATTTCAGGGACCGGTTTCTTTAAGCTTTGTGAAGTGATAAATACAGTTCATGCAAGTATTTATTATATTATGATTCGCCGAAATATTAAAACTGAAATATTAGTTAAGTTACTGTAACATAACAACATGGAGCCCGCGCAAAATTTACATTTACCTTCCAGTTGGATGTCAGTAATTCCGGCTAGGAAGAGAACAGGTTTAGTGAGAATATTTGAGCCTAAGAAAGAGAAAGCAACAAGTAAGGAGGGAAACTGTTTAACGGGGAGCTTCATAATTTGTACTCCTCGTCAAATATAATTAATTATGATCAAATCAAGGAGAATGATATGACTGGGCCATGTCACAAACATAAGATAGAAGAGAAATGCATATAACTTTCGGTAAGAAAAGAAAAACCTGATGCAATGACGCCATTGGTAAAACCTGTAATTAATGACGGATAATATTAAAACAGATCATCCATATATGAGGACAGTGTTGACAAGATTCGTTTAGCTCTGTAAACGAATAAATGACGGTCTCTTCTGTAAACGGTAAGGGAGCCTTCGGGTTCCAGAAAATTCTGGGAATTTCTAGACTAGCTAAGCAGTTATTAGCTTCTCAAGGGGGTCCTCCTCCAGTAAGTTAGTTATCACAGCTAAATATAGGGTCTGACAGCAGACTCTATGAATCATAATTTATAAATTATAATTACTAAAAAAAATCGTTATGAAAATTTCAATTTATATCCGTCATATTTAACATAGTCGGAACCTGATATCTAGTAGTGAAAGCTATTCTTAGCGCAGTCAGTATAGCGGCCGGTTACGGGCTGGACGGCCGAGGGGTCGGAGTTTGAATCCCAACTGTGCCAATGTTTTTATCCTTTCTACGTCGTCCATACCCATTCTGGGGCGCACCCAGACTCCTATCTAATGGGTATTAGGGGTTCTTTTCCCGGGGTTAAAGCGGTCGGGCCCTGAAGCTGACCACTCACCTACGACTAGTGCCGAGGTCCACTCCCCCATATTTGATAAATTATTTGAGCACAAGGACAACTTTACCTGAGGAATAATGAATTTTCAGTTTCTGGTAGCTGCGCCACACAGACCGAAGCATTTGAAAACACGTAACGCCATTGCCAGGGATGCTTTACGTGATGTCTTCTTATTTCGTCGCAAGGACCTGAGACAGCACTGAACTTCCTCAAACTTTGGCCGAGACGACGGCTCCTCTGATGCTCAACAATTACAGCAGCTGAGGCAGTTAACAGAAATACTCATAGGACATGGGCGCACCTGGGATGTTTTTTCCCGGGGAGCGGGGGAGCCAGAAAATATGTTTTAAAACTTACCTTTAAGTCGTTTAAGACTAGTTTTAATGATCGTCTATCGTATTCAGGATACTACACATCATTTTTATTTTTAATATTAAAAATTTGTACATTTTCTCCTTTTTTAAATTTTGTTTTTTCAGAGAAATCCGAGGCGAAGGCAGACCCCTGACTCACCCCCCCACCCTCCGATGATGCCCTTGTTTGGGCACACACTGAAACTGGGACTAGTAAGAATTTCCACCTGCCAAATTTGAATAACAAAAGCGTAATAGCCTTACATGTCCAGTATGACTGAGTTTCTAGCTGAAATAAGATTTCGTCATCTGGGACTCCATTTCATGACTATCGGACAGCTTCATTAAGAAAATGGCTGCCCTTCATTCAAAGTAAAGGATGGCTACAGGGCTAATCTTAGAAAGAGAATGCGGAATATCTAACGTAGAGAGTCCAGGTGTAAGGCTCATCTAATATCCACCTTCTTAATCTAATCTTACCTCATCTGATGACGCTTACCTGTAGGAGCGCAGTCCGTCGCGACGGCTGCTACTACGAAGACGGCTGGCGCCATCCAGGTCCATGAGGAGTAGAAAGCAAACTTCCGCCACTGCTTCCCAGCAGATACACGCAGCTCAGATGTGGCAAGACGCAGCGTCCGCCAGACGTCGAAGGCCATTGTTAGCATCCAGGAGAAGGACGCCAGGAAGAAGTACTGAGTAACGACGGCAACTGCACTGCACGACCCGCTCCCAACCTGAAATACGAACTCGACGGTTATTGAAAATTACTTCAAAGATAAATTAAACTTGTACCTTAAGTTCCGTGCAATATAGGAGGTAAATTACATAGAAATTTTGACATCGGTAGTAGGTGGAGGTGATTAGTTTAATATTCCCGTTAATTCATACCGTATAGAATGGTACCAGAGTTATGATCTCTTCCCGCTTCACGCTGTTCTATTGCTTCGCTTATTCTTCGACACTGAAGATGGAGGTGAGATGTATCTCCGAAATGTCGGTTGACTTTCAACGGACTAAACGGCGTTATATCACAGAAGACAGAACTTTCCATAATCACCATCGTGAGAACCTCAAATCTTACAAATAAATTGTTTCCAGGCGCTCAAATTACGTATTATATGCTTTCCTACCACATGGAAAGCAGGTACCATGGTAGGGGAAGAGGGCTTAGCTGCGGTCCGAGCTTCGCCTCCCTCTCATTCTGTCTTCATGCACGATTAAATTTTCCAGCATGTTTTAACCACAACCATAGGATTAAAAAAAAAGCATAAAAGAAGGGAAAATAGACATTCGCAACATGGCGACAACAAGATTATCCGAAAAAATTGTATTAATTTGACTCTTACGCTACGCTACGGCCTCTCTCGCTATGCTATAATTTATTCGAAACAAAGAATTTCGAATGTATGTTCGTAACTGATGTGCGAAGTAACTGGCATTCAAAATATAGTAATTTTCATTTCCCCACTTACTAAGGCCGATCACAGTGGCCGCGCGGTCGAAGGCATGAATTGCCTTCGTCCGCTCAAACACTAGGATTGTGGGTTCGAATCCCACTCAAGGCATGGATGTCTGTTTTTGTTTATTTTGAGTTTGTGTTCTTCTGTGTGTAGGTAGCGGCCTTGCGACGGGCCGTCTGTTTATAGATTAAGAAACTGAAAAAGCAGCCAAGGCCCAACAAAAGGATTCTAGAGCTATAATGGAATAGAAATATTTATTCATTAAGAGTTAATTACTTGAATTCTTACCTCGAGGAACTGGCCGACTATGAACACGGTGTAGGCTGCGAGAAGTGAGAAGCATAACGAGGCCAGGTTCTTGCCGGAGAGGTTCCTTAATTCAGGCAGAAGGATAAATGCTGTCAGGTGTAACACCAGGAATATAATTGAGACGCCCAAACCAGCCATTGTCACGTAGCTCATATTCGGGTTGAATTTGTCCACGTACTCGACTCCTTCATCTGTACATATCTCCAAACGACTGTCGTGTCTAATACGAAACTGGCTTTGTGGGTAAGTGCGATGGTAGGCGGGCACACTGACGGTTCCATCGTCCAGCACCGCGTATTCCTCGGGCTCAAGAAGAAACTTGGGGCACTGAAGGAAATAATCAGACTTGCTGTCGTCGGTAAGAGCACCGCTGTCGTTGCGATATCCTCCACTGTTTGCAGGATAAACCTCACCTGAGTCAACGACAGGAAGAACACTCATGCAATGGCCGGCAATGTAATCTTGTCCTTCTTGTGAACAAACTACGTCACGACAGCGCCTGAAGAAAGGGTCATACAGCTGATCCCTGCTAGAACACGGCCGTTCCTTGCCAACGATATTTCCTGAATCACCGGAAAGATCGAACAGAACAGCAAATGCTTTAGGACTGAATTCTTTTCCATAGACTGATACACGACTTGATGCCCTAACACAGGCCAAGTTCTGGATCGGTACATTATTGCAGATGGCGCAGTGTACATTCCTGTATCCATCGTTCTGATAAAACACCAGGGCCGTGTAGGCTTCACACCTGTTCCTAACGTCCGAATTTGTCCAGTTGAGTGCGCATGTGCGGATAATGGCTGTTGGACATCGACGCACAATGTGTTCAGACGTATCTGGAAGGACAGGGTCCACATTGCAATTGTAAGTTTTGGTGCCCTTCTGAGTGGGGAGACGAATCACCCACGAATTCTGTTCCTGTTCAAAGGAAAGTGCATGAGATATATCTAAACTTGTTAAGTTCGGGGTCAGACTTTGCATCAGACTGGGGCATTCAATTCTTGGTTTCCATATATCTGTGCTATTGGGATAAATGTCTCCGTGACAGAGGGCACAATGCACATTTCGATACGTGAGTCCTGAACGATGGCTTGTCACTGGCATCGTAGCCAGTGGGTCCCTCAAGCTGGGGGTGTCGTCTTCACACCTCAGCCGCGTTCCACTGTCGCTCCATTCAGGAGGGCATGATGTCAACATGTAGATTCCACCGAACTGACGCAGCTCGACGCACGTGAAGGATGCAGCTCCGCGACGCTGTTCCGCCGCTACGAAGTGTGCAGAGTCGAGACAACAGTCCCCGTAGCGAGCGCACTGCGCGTCGCAAAGGCAATTGCGATCCTTCCAGTCCACTAGGTGGTCCCCAAGACGGGAGCGCTCCGCCCCAGGTAAGTGTTCGCAGCTCCCCTTGCCATCACAAACCCTGAAGAAGACAAATCCGGGATTATGATGCCTCGAAACACAGACAGTTCAACGTTATGACATGGCTGTTCTAATAAGGTTAAAGTAAAGTTGTCCTTGTGCTTAACTAATTAAACATTACGCCATGAGGCGTATAGGGGAGGAGCTGTAGAGACCAACGTTTTCTTGACCTCGGCACTAGTTGGAGGTGAGCGGTCAGCTTCACGCTCCGGCTGCTTTCCCCCCGTGGAAAGAGCCCCCGGTATCCATTGGATAGGATGTTGGATGGACCACAGTGCCGGTCTGAAAACATTGAGAAATAAAAATAATTGACCCCACCGGGTCTCGAATTCTGACCCGTCGATCATCCAGCCAGTAGCTAGTCGCTATACTGACTGTGTTCTCCCGGCTCTCATGGCTGTTATAATCCTGGTTATAAAACCGAAACACAGAAAGAACAAACTTTTAGAACACGGAAACATTAATCTAGAATTCTGCTTCCCTGGTACACTGAGTATACACGGCAATATTAATCCGAAATTCTGAAGCCACAAAATAACGGAAGTTCGTTATTATAACGCAGAAATCTAAAAAGAAACGATCCTTAAAAAATCGGTGCCGTGTGTGAATGATCAGGTTCCAATCCGTGTAACCGCACGCCATATTTACATTCTCAACATCTTGAATTTGCACTCCAGACTAAAACAGCTCATGAGAAATACGTGCCCCGGTTGCTCGTAGCATAAGCTTACGAAACTTTCAGGACTAAGAAATCGAAAGTTACTGATGTAAGAACTGTCCTGAAATTTTTAACGTTTTTGAAAAAGTCGGTAAACAACGGCAAATATAAGAACTTTTTTGTCCTTGGCACTACAGCCCCAGTGGGCCTAGGCCTACCTCCATGAAATTCTCCGTTCACTTCGGTTTTTCTAGGTCTTACACATTCGGTAGGTCTCCTTGGGAGGGTGATCAGCTCGTCGCAAGGCCTCTACCTGCACACAAACACAGAAAAACGCACACACACACAAACTAAACATCCATGCCCTGAGTGGGATTCGAACCCACGATCCCGGTTTCCAAGCGAGCGAAGACAGTACATGCTTTAGACCGCTCGGCTACCGTGACCGGCTTAAATATAAGAACTGGTCTATTATAAATCATACAAAATTAAATTCTGTACTAGTCTCACAAATCCAAGGAGAGATTACGTCACAGTTTCCAATGGTTCGATCTAAATGGAAATCTATGTGAAGACCATGTCACTGGGCGACACTAGGAGACCACTGTTTCTTATTATTATCTTTCCAGCAGTTTAAACATTGCATATCAGGAAACTGTGAAGAGAGATCTTGCACGGTTCAAAAGAAGAAACCGCCAACCTACGATAAGAAAAACATGGCCGCTTTAAAGATTTGTGACTTGAATACACTAAAACCCAGCAAACACATGAGAAAGAAAGTATGTGAAGACAGGAATGGCAAGGTGTAATGAATATAGCCTCACATACAAGAGTGTCTGGGTATACGAGAAGTATATTTTGATGATGTTCTAATCCTTCTCGGAGCCGCGATAGCGAATGGCTGCGGGCTGGACGACCGAGATATCGGAGTTAGGGTCCTTGTTGGGTCAACAATTTTCACTTTTCCATGTCGTCCAGACAGGAAGTGTGGTCCACCCAACCCCTTATACAAAGGGTACCAGGTGCTCTTTTCTGGGGTAAAGCGGCCGGGGCGTGAAGCTGACCACACCTCCAGCTAGTGCTGAGGTCAAGAAAATGTGGATCTATACATCCACTCCCCAATACGCCTTCATGGCGTAGTGCTTAGTTAGTTAAGCACAGGGACGACTTTACCTTTTATCTAATCCTTCTCAATCTCCTGCTGGTATGTTGTTCAAAAGACACCAACTTCTATACAAACTAACAGCACGTTTCATCGTCGTTAACAATTTCTTCAAAATGACCTATTATCTATTGAAAACATCATCATGCAGTTATATAAATCAACATAATGTTCGTAGTGATGAAAATGGCAATGGTAATTGTGTTCATTACCATAACTTCTCGAGTACAAAACTGTTACCGAAATTTGGTACATATATGTTAATGTATGTGTGCTGAACATGTAGCTCGAAATGTGATATGTGCGTTATACAGACTGTGGCGTATGTTCATGCGTTATGCAAACTGTGGCGTGTGTTCATGCGTTATGCAGACTGTGGCGTGTGTTCATGCGTTATGCAGACTGTGGCGTGTGTTCATGCGTTATGCAGACTGTGGCGTGTGTTCATGCGTTATGCAGACTGTGGCGTGTGTTCATGCGTTATGCAGACTGTGGCGTGTGTTCATGCGTTATGCAGACTGTGGCGTGTGTTCATGCGTTATGCAGACTGTGGCGTGTGTTCATGCGTTATGCAGACTGTGGCGTGTGTTCATGCGTTATGCAGACTGTGGCGTGTGTTCATGCGTTATGCAGACTGTGGCGTGTGTTCATGCGTTATGCAGACTGTGGCGTGTGTTCATGCGTTATGCAGACTGTGGCGTGTGTTCATGCGTTATGCAGACTGTGGCGTGTGTTCATGCGTTATGCAGACTGTGGCGTGTGTTCATGCGTTATGCAGACTGTGGCGTGTGTTCATGCGTTATGCAGACTGTGGCGTGTGTTCATGCGTTATGCAGACTGTGGCGTGTGTTCATGCGTTATGCAGACTGTGGCGTGTGTTCATGCGTTATGCAGACTGTGGCGTGTGTTCATGCGTTATGCAGACTGTGGCGAGTGTTCATGAGATAGTCTGAGTTGTGGCAAAGTGCATTCTGGTAAACGTGTATCAATATTTCGAAGTCTCAACCTGCATTCATCTTCAGGTTTTTGAAACAATTTGAATTTCTTCTGAGGAGCAAATGTAAGTTTGCATATCTACAGCTGTACTTAGTAAATCAGCATTGCTTGTGTGAATGAAGTTGGAAAAACTTTGCTTACTTCATATTTATGTACTGAAGTGAATTGTGAAAGAAGTTAACTTCAAGAATTCTCAGTTACTTATGTGATATGACGCAAGCAAATTGTTTCCGAGTAATGCGCAATGCCTATATTTCACAGGGACTCCAACAAAAAAAATATTATTAGTTAAAGTGTGCCTTCATCACATTTATGACAACACAAATACTCAGTTCCTACTTTACTTTAAGCAACACATTGTTTTATTTCGGAGAACTCGTAAACTAAATTTTTATGTTGGTTGTTTGCTTGCGAAACAAGGCATGCTAATGAAATATGTGTCGGTTACTTTGTTCGTTAAGAAAATATATTGCTTTCTGGCATGTTACACTTCACATACACAATACTGAGAACTTAATTTAAGCATCCCATACGTCTTCGTGGCTAAGTGTTCAATTAGTTAAGCACAGGGACAACTTTTTCCTTATTTACATGAAGTATCCGTACGCAGTTCTACGTTAGTAGATAGGCCTATTAGGATCACTGTTTCAGATGCTCATAATCCAATCACAGATCCCAATACTGAAAAATGCTTAGAACACAGTTTTCAGACAGCTCTTCTAAATAAACGCGTTTCACGAAAATACCGACAACTGACCACGGAGAGACTACTGTTGGTAGATCAACCTACTGGTAGAATTACTGCTTCCTGCAACCTGCGCGCGCAGTACAGTATTGGCGCATTTTGTTGTTAAAATCTTACACAGCATCTTTAAAATTTTTATTTATATAGATATACGATTCATTGATCACTCAGCTGTTTTTCGATATTGTATCAACTGCTCATACACGTATTACGTGGAGTCGAGTGAGGAGCTGTAGGTGGTTTATAATGGATGAGCCGGGAAGTATGAAGAAAGAGGCAGTTATGGCCATTGTTTGAACATTTTTACGTAGTTTGTCTGAAGGAACCGAGGGAAACCATAATGGACTTAATCATGATAACCGGCAACAGATCGAAGTTAGGGACGAGTTCCTTTGAAAACACCCTCCCGCTTTACTAATAGAATATTAAACAAAATCATCTCATGTTTTGAGGTAGGTTTATTGAAAATCCTGGCCTGCTAAAAGGCTTTCGCTTACCTGGTAATGCGTCTTCTGGGCGACAGTCTTTTACTAGGACGACAGCGGTCTACTGAACAACATGTTAATTTAATATAATTATTTCTATTTTCTGCTAGAATTTTACGCTTCTTTCCACTTCCATATTTGTCGGAGACCTACTGACTAACAGTACGTATCTAGACTCAGCCCTGAACCAACTTTGACAGTACTCCACAGTTCTGACATATTTACCCCCGAAAGATGCACCTTGTAAGAGGTGCTACAGACTCACTTACAAAGGACCCGCTGAACAAATCCCGACACTAAACACGTATCTTGATTCATTCCGCAAATATTTACGATATGGATTACATTCCTACCTACATTTTGCTCAATCTTTACTTCACAAACTACTCTCATTGTGTCACTGTGTTATTCTTGCCCATAAAGCCAAAGCAAACATTTTATTCAGAAGATAACAAACATTGAGAAATTTTATATAAAATCCTTGTTGGCAAAGTTTTAGGCAAAAGATGATCTACGAGATGGACGCGTAGTTGGAAGAATAATATCTAAATGAATATAAAATGAATGCTACTCTGGGTTAAAAGTATTAGTCTTGTTCAGTATAGAGGTGAGTGGCGAGCACGGAAGCGAATTACTTGATGTTTTCACCATGAATAGTACGATCTTCTGGGTTTCAGTGTTGTGTACTTTGGAACAAGCCCACCTTCTTCCGGAATACATTGCGTTACATCCCAGAGGATCAGTCTCTTCAAGGTAATGAATCTTAACGTTACACAAAAGTCGAGGAATTTATGGACTAGCAGAGCGACTATAGGCTCCTCAAGCAGGACCTTACTCAATGGAACTGACTTAGTTATAAACAGCTGCTTTCACGCCACAAGTCCATACATCCGACCTTGAGATAAAATGATGAGCAAGCGTAACGGAGATCCTCGTGGAAACAGCCCACACACAACGAAATGTGAACAGATGCGGGTCCTCTTTGAACGAATCATTGCTTATGCAATTCTTTTTAACTGCGTTATCTGTTTCAAGGCAACGTCACCGTGTACGAGTATACAAAAAGAGAAGTACTGGCTACCCATGTAACTCAACTGTACTATATTTCTACTAAAAATTCTGATGAAGATCATGATAATTTTTGTTATTCCGTACATGGTGCGTAATATTCTGAAAACTGAAGCAGTTCCTTCGGCGAAATTAAGACAAAATGCCCAGTGGCTATATCACATACCCTATGAAGCCATCACAAGCAAAAAAAAAGAAATCGACCCTTGGGGCAGCATAGGAAGTGCTTGGTTTATGCATGACGTCCGTCCACAGCACTGACATATATGCACGTGAAATTAGTTGTAAACCGGGCGGATATGAACTACATGGCAAGGCAAGAGCTGGAAATTTGACAACGCTTTCCACGGCACATACTTAATAAATAATATTATATTACTGATTTTCTCGAAATCAATTGTTCATAAACATTGTGTAAGGAACAAAGCCTTTATAAATTTTAAAGAAAACTTTTGGAGAGATACCCCTAAAAATATATCTATACCCTCAATTAATAGGAGTTCAGATAGCTCAGTTGTATAGCGACGGGCTACAGGCTGGACGGCCAGGGTTCATTCAAGTCACTGCAAAAGCAAATTTGTTCTCCTCTCCGCAAGGTGTAAACCGGCCCTCTGACTCACCCAGTTTCCTATCGAATGGGTACCGAGGGCAGTTTCCTCGGGAGTAAGGCGGCCGAAGAGTGAAGCCGACCACTCACCTCAATCTAGTGACGAGGCCAAGAATGGGGGAGTTATACCTCCACTCTCGCATACGTCTTCATGACATACTGCTCAACTAATTAAGCACAGAGACAAATTTATCTTCACCCTTAAGTGATACAGTGTAATGAAAAATGAAGGAAAACTTTCAGAAACTAATGACACATTATTAATTAATTTCGTTACAAATGCACAAAGAGAATTTCGTAATGCCATCGAAAAGCTGAAGTATAGGACCATCGTCGGCCATGTAGCTCGTAGAACTCATGTTGAGTGTCCTTAGAGTTTGTAATGCAATTCAAGAGACTATCAGTCTGCGTGCGTTACATGAGTATTTTTCCGATAGTCTAATTTGTATTATTTTCTTTAAGTTTTTACTTAATCTTGAATTGCTCTGTACAGGCCTGAATAAAATCCACACATGATAATGCTCTTATAATTGAAACAGAGTAGCCTGTATTGTGTCTCTTGCACAGTGAGTAGCTGATCACTTGACTTACGTGTTGGGTGACTCCAGATCGAGGTGGCTGACTGCTAGGAGCACGGCGGGATGTGGCAGCGCAAGCAGGAACAGCAGAAGCAGGGGCAGCACTATGCAGCCCCGCGATGCCGCGGTCATGTCGCCCCTAGTGCGGCTCTCCACTCCCCTCGCCACCGCCCGTCATGTCTGCAAGAAACAAAAGCGCTGCGGTTTATGAAGCCACTTTTGTGGTTTCGGGAAGAACACAACATAGTTAATTAAATTCTGAGTTTCATTTGAATTTAAACAAAGCATAAATATCGCAGGTGCAGAACACAACAACATCTATACCTTTGCTCAGCCTGAAACCAACCAGCACGAACTTCTCTCTGGTGACAAATGTAACATTTATTTATGCTCAGATTATTTAGTCCAACTAGTGCCAAGGAGTGGTGGAGTTATACCTCCACTCCCCCTTTAGACGCCATGGCGTAGTGCTTAATTGTTAAACTAATTAAGCAAAGGAACGTTGCCTTTATCCAGTCCAACGCAATAACCACATCGCCCTAGACTCTTACTGCGCAGGACTTGACATTCTTCACGTAATAGTTACAAAGATTTCAATGTTCTGGGATATAACGCCGTACAGTCCGTTGAAAATCGTCTTATGTTTATGAGGAACATGTCGCTTCAATCTTCAGGATAGAAGAATAAACCAAGCAAGGAGTTAGCAGAAGGAGGCAGCAGGCACTAAGTCAAAGTCACACGAATTTTGTTAGTTGCTTCAGGCTGGTTTCTTGCTATTGTATCATTTCCCCAATGCGTGCTACATTTCCCAACAATCAAATCTATAAGAACGTAATCAACTTAAAAATAGGCCCGTTAGCTGACGAGTACAAATTATGAACTGCTTCGTAAAATTATTTCCATTCTCCTATTAAATTGTCTCGAGTCCAAACATTCTCTTCAAGCCTATAACATTCCTTTTCTAAAGAAGCTAATTCCATGGAGCTTTCATTAAAATAAGGCACTGTTTTCTCGGTTATCCAGAATCCAAACAAAAAGTCTAGGAAGCCACGATGATTGAAGTTCACATTTTATCGAAATGCCATATCCTACGTCAAATACGTGTAATGTGAAGTATAAATCTCAAACGGAGGTTTGATTAGAATTTCTTCGCTTGGTTTTACACAGTCTGACATTTCTCTACCGATCAGAGCGGGCGCACAGTCTACAGCATGAAATGTCTTCGCCCGCTAGGACACTAGGATCGTGGGTTCGAATCGTAATCAAGGCGTGGATGTCTGTGTTAGATAGGGGCCTTGCGACGGGCTGATACCCCATCCAGAAAGTCGTACCGATTGCCTAAGATTAAGAAACTAAAGTGAAATGTAGCGCTTCACGGGTGCCCTATGCTCCAAATGGGAGCAACAGAAACAGAAAAAGAAGAAGATATTTCTTTATTAACTTAAGTCATGAGCGGATTATTTCGTGGTCAGAACTTATCAGGAGCGAGCGGTCTAAGGCGTGCAATGTCTTCCCTCGCTCGGAAGCCGAAATCGTGGGTTCGAATCCCACTCAGGGCATGGATGTTTGTGTGCGTTTTTCTGTGTTTATGTATAGGTAGAGGCCTTGCGACGAGCTGATCACCCGCTCAAGGAGTCCTACCGAATGTGTAAGATCTAGAAAAACCGAAGTGAACGGAGAAGTTCTTGGAGGTAGGCCTAGGCCCACTGGGGCTGTAGTGCCAAGCGGGAAAAAGAAACTTATCAGGAGAGCGCAAAATTTCCGTCACGTGTCAAAAGGTCACGCCAACATATGTCATTCTGACAGGATCCTCGCATCCCTGTTTTTGTTTGTTAGTCGCGGTCGGGCAGCAGGTATGTAAGAAGTGCAATTGCTGCTGAGCATTTCCGAGGTTGAATTCTGCAATGTTATGGCTTGTTCTACCGGTTTCCGACAGAAACCATGAAATGTCTTCAAACCCTCAAATAGCAAGAGATAGAAGTTTTAATTTGTGTTTAATTATCAGTTTTTTTTGTTCCTCATGTACATGCACGGCTTAAAGAACAATTTCCAGACAAGTCGCTACACAGTCTGTCTGTTCTAACTTCCACATCTGTTGGATTCAGCTGGCTGAGGATAGGTGCAGTGGGGGGATTCTTTAAACACAGTAATAAACGTTTCTTTTCAATAAACGGCGGATAATTTAGCGATCAGCTAAGCAACTACAACCTTTTCAAGAACTCCTCTACTTCCGTGGAGACTGCAGATCAGGATTGAAATAAGACGTATGATCATTATTAAATTTAATTTAAACATGAAATTGTTAGTAACCTTCCGGTCTAAAAAACCGAAATTAACGGCCGTAGGGATTCGTTACGCTGACCACGCGACATCCTATATCCGCTAAACTTGGAACTAAATTCGCCGACAAGCGGCGGTCGCTCGGTCGGTATAGTTGGATTGCGGACTGAAACCACGGAGTTTGTTTTGTTTGTTCTTTGTGATGGAGCAAAGGATACGTACATGTAGATGTAGTTTTTTTGGGTAAATTTGGAATCACAATAATTAGACTGTAAGATTAAAACAGTAATAAGGCCATGAACCGGAGAGCTTGGGTCTACAAGGAAGTACAAGCAATTCCTGACTAATCAGAATGTTAACGCGGCAGCGTAAACCGCTGACAATGCGGAAGGGCTATATGAAGTGGGCCATAAGCACTATGGCAGACGGAAAATGCTGAGTAGGAGGAGGCGGCCTACCAAAAGAGTCAACCCCTTCTTGATCGACAACCAATAATCAAGCCACACCGACCCAAAATCACGTCAGGGTAGGAGGACCCTATACCCGGAAGACGACGAGTCAGCGAGCAGAGGTTATAAAAACCCGAGACGAACCATTTTAGGGGCTTTTTCTTGGCTTTTAGCTTTTTGCTTTGGCCTATTCGATCCGATTCGATTCTATTCGAATCTAGTACGCTATTATTATTAATGTCATTATTACATTAGTATTACAATTGTGGCCATGAGTGGACGATGGGTTGTGACGGCGAGCCTCCTCTTCTTCAGCTCAAGTAAGTGAAACCATCTTCATATAGCCATGATCATTAAGTGTAAAGTGTAACAGAGTAAAGTGTAACCCGGGAGAGATAGGCTAATCAGATGGGCTAGGTTCATTCAGCGATTCCAAGCATAGAATACCGACAGCAGGGTGACAGGAGGTGGACATGATGAGACGCTGCAGGATTATTCCCAATGTAAGACGAACCGACAAACGTCGGCACAGTGTGTATATAGTGTATATAACGACGCAGGTAAATAGAATAGGCTAGGACTGTGTACGAGTTTAATTCAACCACACATATCCTCGAGTGTTACCCTCTTCCTCAAAGACTCCAGGACTTCCCAAAGCTTTAGCGAATTACGGTTTAACCCAGACAGTAATGCAAGCTAAGATAAGTACGAGATTTCTTGAATTACCAAGATGGTGGCAGCATACTAAACAGGGTGACGGAGAGGGATATTTCCTCGCCCTCCGTCATCACGGCAGAAGATAAGTGTAGCGACAGCTAGAGAGAGGTACAGTGGTGGAAGCGGTGGAGGTACCTCCATGCCCCCCTCACGCCATAACATTCTTTATTGTTAGTAACCTGTGAAATTATTCAAGACTTAATTCTAAATAACCAGACACACAGTGACCTACATAAAATAAATAGTGTAAAAATGAGATTTATTTCCTTGTGAAAAACATTGTTAAAATCGACTGTTCGAAAATAAATAAGTTTAATACCAGGCGCGCTGGTGCAGCTGTATAAAACTGTAGGTGCAATACACTTGTGCACATGACTAAGCGTGAAATATGTGTTTGCGTTCCTCGGTTCAGTCGATCTACAACGCTCAGTTAAGTTTGCCGTGCTAATTATATATAACAGGAACTCAAATGGTTCACGTATGTGTTCTCAGTATGTCATGTTTAGTCTCAAACTGTGTTCCTGAGTTATGCACATTGAAACATGCGGATGTGTGACCCCAATGCGCAACGCACAATTCTTCCTTAACACGTCTCCACTGCTGCAAGTCGTGTTGATTCGGTACTTGGCCTGCCTCTTCAGTTCAATATTTCTCCCCCTTAACTCAGTACATCTTTCATCGCCCTGTTTTCTACCTCTTGGTTTTGGAAATGACACTTTTACCTTTATATTAATTTCCACTGGTAACTGGGTACTACTCTGGTTCTTCTGTGTTCTAATAACAAATCAACGGTACTCACACGTCAGTTTGTAACAAACACGCTCAGTCAGTATGGAGACTAATTTAGGAGATGGATGACCAATGAGTCTGATTCCCGGAAGTGCCAAGAAATCCTTATCCTCTCCACAGCTTCCAGGCCAGCTCTGTGGTCCACCCAGCCTCCTACGAATGGGTATCTGGGACTCTTTCCTTGGAGTTAAAGCATCCGAGGCGTGAAGTTGACCATTCGTTTTCACCTAGTGAAGAGGTTAAGAATCCATGGAGCTATGTCCCACTTTCTCTCACGTCTTCATGGTGTGGTACTCGATGAAACACGGGGACAATATTACCTTTCACGTGTTATGCATTAGAGGCAGAGCTCTGAGCCTGTAATGGTTACATACTGTGTCTTTCCGCTCCTTGCCAATTGGAGCGATTTCGCAAAACGCTACTTGCAGGGGACACACGCGAAACAAATATCTACAGAAAACGCACACGAAAATGCTATTCAGCAATTGCGTTTGCAGCGATAGGCGAGGAGATTGACTCGCCACCTGAAAATGGTCCATACTGTTTCCGGACACATCCGGATTTGCCATTTGGGTTTACCGATGCACCAAAACCAGATAAATAATGCAGGATAAGGACTTCATATTTTCGATTCTGCTGAAGGAGCAAGAAAATAAAGCTTGAAAACCAATCAAACCGAGATTGTATAGCCGAAGAAATGAAATGGCTGGACGAAATGCTGCGACAAGTTGGCCCCTTTGCTGAGTCATATAAACGAATGCGTAAAATGAACCTAAATATACTACTAAATAAATACAATGTATGCTACTAGAATAAAACCAAAGTCCACAGACGTTCAAATGCTTCCTGAGTCCTTTGTGACCAACAGTACAAGCCCACTGGCCCGTAGTATGTTTTATATAAAGTAATTAGTCCCATCCTTGGGACGAGCTGATCACCCGCCCA